CAAAGGGAGTGAGCCTATTTGATCTCACATCTGTCATGACTCTAGTGGACTCCAAAAATAGTGTTACCTAAGATTGTCTTGATTGTGGGGCAAAGGATTCTTTTACACAGAATTTAAAAAATATTTCTATGTCAATTCGATATTGCATTCGGAAATCGTTTCACTAGTTCTGATTTCATATGGTCTTCGATAGACTCTTTTTTTCCTATTCCATTGTTAATACGCTTTTATATGGTATTGTCTTCGGGCTATATTCATAATATTTCAACTATAAATCCATTTAATTTTTGCTTTTAACAACAGACAGATACTCTTCTCAACGAAATCGAGTGTCTAAAGAAGCAGCGCAGCGAATTGCTAATTTTATTGGACACATTTGAGCGCCAACTACAAGACGTATGTTTCTAATTGTATTAGCTCCACTTTTGAAAATTTTGACTTAGGTTATTTTCTTCGCGAGCCTGTTATATATAAACACTTGCTTGGTCCTGATTAGATAGTAATCCAATTATTATGGCAAGATTTAGTTGTAATCTTTAAGGGCCTAAACTATGTATTTAGTTACATTTTATGCCTCCATTTTTTAGTCCTAATGTTGTTTATCCTTGAGGGAGCGCCGCTTTCTAAAATTCTGTCGTCAAGACAGACCTTATATCGGGAATATACACCCTTAAATTTTGGTATTTCCTTATTGGCCATGGTTCTCATACAGTCTATCTCTCAATAAAGAAACTTATGTAAAATAGAATATTAGAGGCTTAGTAATGACTAAGAGGATCTGGCTTTATTACTTTTATTCATAGCCCATTGACTTTCAAACGGAATCGGATACTTCGTGGCTGAGTTAACCTCATTAAGGAACTATTTAGATGTAGAAAAACTGGGTTTCTAAGAATCCGTTAGAAGATTAATGTAGGAATACCTTTCATTTCGTTTGAAGTGGCGAGTGGAAGGGATTCGTAAGTTGGCTCCACCGTAGGCTATGGAGGAGTTGCTTTGAGGCTGTGGTTGTAGCTTTGTGCCAATAGGTCTTCGGCTCACCGCCCTGCGACCCCGATGAATCCTTTCTGAGCTTTCGCCCGTCATGCGACGGACATCGTCAGAGCAGGACACCATGCTTAACGATAATTCACGAAAAACACGAAGGCAAGAAAGGTAGCTGGCTTCAAATCGACTTCCTTCTTATATTACAATTTGGTCCACTTATTCATTTTATGTTTTGGTTGGATGTCCTATGCTTTGCCTCTATATTTGCTCATAACTTAATTTAAGTTGCTGCGAATGACATCTGAAGTAGCTACAGATAAAGCGTGAAGTGGATGCAATTGAAACCGAACAGCTACATCCCCGAAAACACGTATGCCTTAGAACCTGCGAAGTTACCGCATGTGATTGCTTCCAATTGCACTCATGTTATGTGAATGCATTGCTCTTGAATTGAGTGTGATGTGAGAGTCAAAACGAAATTCTAGCCTAATCAAGCCTCCTTCTCTTGCTCGGTGTTACTTCTCGTTCCACCTTCTCTTTCTCTCTCTAAACCTATCCAACAGCCACAAGTAGTTTCCGCTTAACTTCCTACACTCATTCCTTCTATTCAGGGTGTTGGTTGTTTTGTTGATTTCTATCGCCTCCCTAATCTTTCGCTTAATTATTGGTACAGTTTCCATATCCAACTGAACCTTCGGTATTCGACCAATCTGTCTGGTGTCCTGTGCGAGCCATGTGTTCGGCCAATTCCGATTTTTGGACTCATACCCTTGCAGGCTGTTTTATGTTAGGCTAGCCTAGGAAAAGCATAGGACATCCAACCAAAACATGAGATGCAAAAGTGGGCCAAATTGGAATATAAGAAGGAAGTCGATTTGAAGCCGGCCATCTTTCTTGCCTTCGTGTTTTTGGTGGATTATTGTTAAGCATGGTGTCCTCTGATGATGTCCGTCGCATGACGGACGAAAGCTCAGCAGGGATTCATCGGGGTCGCAGGGCGGTGCGCCGAAGACTTATTCGCACAAATCTACAACCAGAGCTTCAAGGTAACCCCTCCATAGCCTCCGGTGGAGCCAACTTACGAATCCTTTTCACTCGCTTCTTCAAACGAAATGACAGGTACTCCATCATGAATCTATTTAAATGCTTTGTTCTTAAACCTATTTTGTCCTATGATTTTATTATCACTCTTGCGTAAGCAGAGGCCTA